CCCGGGCAGGAAAGTCCAGGAGAATCATCTCCAATTAACCACCAGAAAACCAGAAGTGGCACTGTGGCTCAAGTGGTAGAGCCTTGAGCTGAAGAGCTAAGGACAGTGCCCAGGCCCAGAGTTCAAGCCCCACAACTGACCAAAAAAAAAAAAAAAATCACCCGGAGTCCAGTATCTGAAGAGGACACTTAGGCTCAAGAGCTGGCTTAACCCCAAAGGGGCTAAGCTAAGACAGGTAACTGTCGGGTCTTTTTTCCAAATTTCAGTTCACTTTAGAACTAGATAATAAGGAGAAAAAAAATTAGAAGAATAATTTAATTCTCAATTCTTCTCCAGAGAATACTCCACTTGGTAAAAGTCGGAGGGCAGATCTTACAAATAGGAATTTTAAAGCATTTGAGAATGTTTTTAAATTAAAAAAAAAAAACAAAGTTCTCATATACCCCAAACCTTCTCCCTAATACCACCTTATATATGCCACAATTATTGAAATGTGCATGCATACTTTATTCAGATTTTCTTATTTGTACTTCATATTCTTTCTTGGTTACTGACACCAGATAGAGATAGATAGATAGATAGACAGACAGACAGACAGAGAGACCCTCAGTGTAGCATAGATTGGCTTCAAGCTAGCCTCCTCTTGCCTCAGACTCTCAATTGCAGGGACTACAGGTAATTGGGCCCAGCTACCGTATTTCTTCTGGGTAATATGACAGGCCCCTCTTATCTTTGACAGTTGCCTAGGCACTTCTTGTTTATTTATGACCTTAAACATTTCAATTGATCAAAGCATTGAGTCAAATGTCCCTCAGCTAATCTTTTGTTGATGATTTTCTCAGAATTCAAGTGAATTTGGGGAAAAGACTAGAGACATCATTTTAAAAAAATCATTACATACTAAGGATTCATACTTTCAGCATGACTTTTCTCTATTATTTTTTTATCTTTTCTAAAAATTTTATTGTAAAGATGCTGTAAAGCCCCCTGTACAGAGGGGCTACAGTTACATGAGTAAGGTAATGAGTACATTTCTTATCGAGCATTGCTACCCCCTCCTTTGTATTTCTCCTACTATCCCTTTCCTCTCCCACCTCCTCCAGCCCCTCCCCCCCTCCAAGTTGTAAAGTTCATTTCCAACAGTGTCTTGTGAGTCTCATTGTTGCAATGGGTCATCCTGTGTCCTTGTTTTTGAACTTGACCATTGTGCTGAGGTAGAACTGTCAAACTTCCTCAGCATAAAAGTTCTTTTTTCCCTTTCCATACCACATTATTTAGGATTCATGTATAGTTCACATTCCATATCCCTTCTCAAGGACAGTATATTATTACTGTATCATTTATGTTATATTATATAATTAATATATATTATATATTTGGAACACTTCTGTGCATGGACTTATCTATTTTTCCACACCTGGTGATTTATCGAGGGATTTATCAGTTTTGATTCCTGAATATTTACTTTATACTTTGGGTTATCATTCAATGCTACTTTATGTATTTTGTTATTCAGCTTTGACTATCAAATGCTCTTTCATGACTGCCTGCCCTCCCCAAGCATACCCCATTGTGGGTTTTGGCTGCTGTTTGAATGACAATTTAAGATGGCCCAGGCTCACTTTGTGTATTCTTGCCCCCATAGTAGCCATTTCTCTAAGAGACCATTGTTCCTTTTATTGGAGAATGGTAATAGAAATTATGATCTGAGGGCTTGTGTGCTCATTGTTTCTAGACCTGCCAGCTGACAAGTAATATTCGCACATATGCACACATATACGTGTGTATATATGTAGGTATATATACTGGCCCTTGGAAACACACATACCTATAGTTATTTCTACATGAAATTCATATCTATATTGAATTAAACATGAATTCACAGTAATATCTTCAAATCTTAATCTTATATGTCATTCTAACTTATACCCCCTTGCTTATTTGTAACTCCACACTTCAGCAGTGAGAAGCCTGGTTCAAACTTTCCACCATCTATTTACTTAATTGCTCAATGCTAGCACGTGCACACACACATCAGAATTGTTAACCTGTATCTCCATGAGAAACCATTTTATTAACCACACTGTAATACTTATAAACACTTCCTTTTACCTGCAGTCTTAAGATACCAGGCAATCATAAAGTTTACTTAGGTCATCTTAGGAGTGTTGCTCAGTGACAGAATGCTTGCTCAGCATGTGCCAGGCTCTGGCTTTGATTCCTAGTACCGTAAAAGGAAAACAAAAACAAAGCTATTTAGGACAGCACCTTTTCTCTCACCTTTTCTTCAGAGAGGATGTTAATACATTTAGAATAATCAGACTGTGTCACATTTTGTACTTCATCCTGGGATCATCTGACCTCCTAAACAATTATTTATTATCAAAACATATTTAAGTTTTATTCTTTATTGCAGTAGGGTGAGGGTAGGATAAAGAAAAAACACTAATGGAATTTGAAAGATTAGTTTCAAGGTTTCCTTGAATTTATATCTAACTCCACTTTTAAATTAAGAATTTATTGAAAGCTAGTATAATTCATTAATTTCTAAATGTCCTTAAAAACTTTGTATACAATAGATGCTATGGTAATGATGAAAAGTTGCACAATTAAGCCATAGATTTTTCTGGGAACTTCCTGTCACTTTATTTAATTTTCCTACCCATAAATGGAGATAAAAAGCTTCCCACTCAGGCCATAAGTTTACATTAGTATCGTTCCATTCAAGGGTAAATAAATAATAGCTATTTCACTTGTCATAAGTGCAGACTCTGTACCATATAGAAAATAAGCTCTATCTAATTAAATTTTTCACACAATTATGGAATTTTAATTTTCACACAATGATAGTCACAAAATATCACATATCTGACAATTTACTTTTCACTCACATTACTAAGGGACATAATCTTTAAAGTTCTTAAAATATCTACTCAGTTACCTGTACATGCTTAGAGTTATTCTTTTTTTCTTTTTTTTTTAATTTTTTGTCAGTTGTGGGCCTGAACTCTGGGCCTGGGTGCTGTCCCTCAGCTCTTCAGCTCAAGACTAGTGCTCTACCACTTGAGCCATAGCACTACTTCCAGCTTTTTCTGCTTATGTGGTGCTAGGAATCGAACCTAGGGCCTCAGGCATGCGAGGCAAGCACTCTTCCCAGCCCTAGAGTTATTGTTAAGTACACAGGGGAGCTTAGCAAAACTCTCTGGTCATTACGGAAGATTATCTTAACTATAATAAATGCTGTTCCTTACCAGAAAAGGGTGGGAGAGAGGGAAGAAAACATCTTTCTAGGATTCTTTTTAAGTTAGCATTTATTACCCACTTAACATTGTATAAATGATATTGAAACACTAATATATCACAAATTTCCAAGAGTCAAATATCAACTTCTTTTGTGTTCAGGCATTTTATTGAACCATCTGAAAAAGACATATCAAGTCCATAATGTCAATCTTCGGAGGACCAAACTGTGCTCAAGAACTTTTTTAGTTTCTTTATAGAACCAGCATTTGTCATTTCTACTCAATACATTTACATGTAATTTAATTCAGAAATTTAATGTATTTCTTTGTAGTAGGCACTTAGAGGAGAGAAAATCATGTTTGAACCATTAATATTGCTTCTGAATACTGCCTCCCCCCCATTATTCTAGTTCAGAAATAAAATGTCTGGGAGTATAAAACTACAATTTCCTAATTAAATATCCAGAGACATTACATGGTTAAATCTTATTGCAAATCTTATTTTTAATAATTTAAAAGATACAATAAGAACACCTGTTTCTTTTCCTCAGTCTTCAAAGAACATTCAATAAATTATTCTAGAAATAAAGTACTATGCTTTTGTACAGATGGAAGTTTATACCAACCCTGCAACTTCTCAAAGGCTGCCTCAAACTCTAGCAGAAAAAGAGAAAAAGAACTCACTCTGAGAGGGCTGGAAACCAGAACAAGAGATAAGATTAGAGGCAAAGAATGAGATAATTAGAGCTCAGTGTAAAAGTTATGCTTAACACAAACAACAACCAAAAAAATACTCTTAACAGATTTTTCAGGGATGGGTTAAGGAAGAGAGGAGACATAAGCAATTACCAGAGACCATTGCTTCAATTAAAGGAGTCCAATGCTACAAACAAAGCTCAAAGGCAGCTAGCAAAGATCAACATTTTCTCCCAGCCAAGCTCTGTAATTATTACAGCAGTGACTTGTAGCACATTGTTACAAATAAGTAGGTTAAATAATGAAGAACCAATACAGTTTAATTTAGAAATTCTCAAATTCTACAAAACGGGACAGCTATTTGAAGCAAAACAATACAAAGAGGACAAGTGGCTCCCCTGGAAAACAATGTCTCAACTTCTATACACAGTGAATAGTGGGGTCTTCCTGGGACCATATGCCAAGAGTCACAGCCCAAGAAAGCAGTGTGCAGTCTCAGCAGGACGAATCATTTCACTCCTCAGAAACAGATCTCTTAGGAGCTTTGCGTTTATATAATAAGTGACAAAGCCCCAAGGAAGTATAGCCACTAGGATACAGGTACAGTAACAAAGCAGAGCTGACCTTATTTGAAAGCACTTTGCCTTGTTTCATACCTATCCAACTTCACAGCCATTTACTCTCTCAAGGGGGCTATGAATTTAAAGAAAGTATTTGCTCAGAGACATATCACTCCCATCAATAAAACTGGAAATCACTAGCAGTGATCTCAATCAAGAACCACGCTCAGGATTTCATCATTAAACTTGCTTTTCAATCTACTAACTCAGAAAAACAGGAGCTTAATCAAGTAATCTTTTCATCCTGACTTACAGTAGGTAATCCTATTAAAGGTACAACATGCCTAGGAATTTATCTTCCTTTCTGAGGGCCTAAGCATTTGAGGTTATCTGGATAATGCCACAGAATAAACAGGAGCATCTCCATAGACTTTGCCCCTTATCTGAAAGCATCCTTGAAGTATAAGATTTAGTGGGGCTGTGGAGCACTCAGATAACCTACCTGCCACACTGGTCTGAGGTCCAAGTAACTGATCGCCCCTCGGGTTTGGTTTTATACCATATCCTGATGGCATGAGGAAAGTCAGTAGCTGTCTGAGCTCCTGTCTTCCTGATCCGTAAACTCCAAGTGTCAGTGTCAAAGATGAGTTCCCCACAGCTAGGAGCCTGGCTGCAGCGAGCAAAATAATCTAACTGCTCCCTCCAATGATCTGCAGGCAGAGTCACAAGCTCATGAACCATCTCATTCCTGAGCTCCTCAGAAATAACCGTGAGCTTGGGAGACCTTGTAAATTTTTCAATACCTGGCACAGCAGCAACATCCACCTCCTCGACCTTTAACACAGATAAATCACAGCAGTCCAACACTAGCAAAAATTCCTCTCTCCCATGATTCTCTGTGTCACAGGAATACTTTGAGATAGAGATCCCAGAAGCCTGTTCCTGGTTGTCATGGTTACCATCTTTATCAGAAATATCTTTATCACCTTTACCACAGATTGCAAAATTATTATATCCCATTTTAGATGAAGAAGACCTTGCATTTGTCACAGGAATATGGCAGGGTTCAGGTGTCCTTAATGTGCAGGCTTCATTTGACTCCATTTGGCAGGTTTCCTTACAGGATCGACTCCATTGCTTCAGTCTGTTTCCATCCTCAAAGAAAAGCACTATGGTGCCCTCAATGACTTGACATTCAAAATCCACATCTAAATCTAGCACATAATGTTTCACAAGTATGTGGTTGGTGTTGGCCATGAGAGGCAGATCATCTCTGGAAGGGTCCAACTTTATGTCCATCATGTAGTTGGTTCTTTAAGAGTTTTGCTGAAATCGTAGATGGGGCTTCCTTTTTGATTTATTCTTCGAGAATTATAAATGTCTGCTTACAAAAAAAACAAAACCAAAAAACAAAACCTGATGATGTCACAAATTAGGATTCCATAACTTTCATTCCCCTGGCAAAGAAAAAAAATACAATTAGATAAAATTCCAAATACAATCCTAGTGCTCCTGCAACGGCAGCTACTGCTACAAGTTTACAACCATCCTTAATCATCCCCCATGCAGGAGATACCCATGGCTAAAAGGCACACTAATCTTTTTGACTGACATGAAAAAAAGCTGCACTACGGAATTCTAAAAATATTTCAATTACCAGTGGATGAAACAGACTTCCACAAAGCTAGAAAAATCATGCTCCTAACTAGAATAGTCCTTGTTTTGGAAGAGCACAATTGTTATGCAAAATTGTAACCTGGCATCATTGTGCCTCTTGTTTCAAAAGATATTAAATGTATCATTTCTAATTTTGTACATCAAAGATAAGTGATTGTTTCTCTACTGTGATTCTAAGTAACAAGTGTGAATGAGGGCTAAATGGACTCATACATTTTATTCTTTGAGAGTAATAATTTAATACATACAATGTAACTCCAGGGATTAATGTACTTTTCACATTACCATTGCTCTCATATCAGCACTTCTAGTAAATTACGGGAAAAATGAGCCAATTTACCAAGAGTGCATTCTAAGTATTCCTTTGAGATTGTTCATGGAGATTTTTCAAATTTATAGTTAAATACTCAAGGTATATCATTACATCTTAATAGCTGAAAATCCATTAACATTCTGGATAATAGCCTTCTTGTGGCAAACAAAAGGTCTTCTCATTTGGAAAAAAAAGTATGCAAATACCTATAAAAGGAAGGAAAGAGATTAAAATGTAGAAACAGATGTTGTAATAAAATGTACAAGTTCTTCATAAATGTTCTGAATCAAATGTATTCTTATTACACAATAGCAATACAGCTAAAAGAAAAAGTATTTGAAATTATTTCAGTTCCTGATTAAAAAAAATTTTTATGCTGTTCCTTTCTTTTCTCTTAGCAAAAATAAAAAAGATATGGCAAGAGAAAAGAAATTAAAACCTGACAGAGTAGGTATATTTAAAATGACTTTTGTATTCCTTATTTTCAGGTGTTGGGTTATCAACTGGAAAACATTGCTTGGCTTTTTAATTGAGCCCTTCCTCATTATTTCTGCTTAACTCCTTACTTCTCTTTTGACTTTCTACTAGATATTTTTATTTCCCTTCCATCCAGAATCCAACCAGCCCAATTGAATTTTTAGTTTCTATATCTCCACAGGCAATTTCCTCATTAAATTTCCACTTAACCTTAACTGCAGCACCTTGGTGAGCAACCTTGAAATATATTGCAAGACATCACCTTTACAATAACAATTTTTAAAAAAAGAAATATATTGCAAGTACATATGAGAGCAGCATATAGAAATCAACAAAAGCTAATGATCAATAGCTGGATAGAAGGAAGAGAAACGGACTGTGATTGAGTGGGGACTAGCAGGAGGGGAGTATACTTGGGGTAGGGGTTGGGGGGCAGAGAGGATAAAAAAAGATTCAATGGGGCCTGGGAAGGTGGCTCAGCGGTAGAGTGCTTGCCTTGCATGCATGAGGCCCTGGGTTCGATTCCTCAGCACCACATAAGCAAAAAGAAAAAAGCCAGAAGTGGCGCTGTGGCTCAAGCAGTAGAGTGTATACCTTGAGCTGAAGAGCTGAGGGATAGAGCCCAAGCCCAGAACTCAAGCCCCACGACCGACAAAAAAAAAAAAAAAAAGATTTAATGTTGTCCATATAGATAATTTTCAACTATAAAAACTGAACAAGGAAACCAGTTGGAGGATGCTATTTCTTAGAGGAAGGGTTCAGGCTGTGTGATACAGAGGGTAAAATAGATTGGAATCTAGTATGTGTGTAGATGTAACAATGACACCACTGCACATGTAACTTATATAACTGAAATAAGCCAAAAAAAAAAATGTGGCCAGACACTGGTGGTTCACATATAAAATGCTAGCTACTCCCAAGACTGCCATCTAAGGATTGAAGTTCAAAGCCAGCCAGGGCAGAAAAGTCTGTGAGACTCTTATCTCTAACTAATGAAAAAGTCAGAAGTGGAGTGAAAAAACTCAAGAACAACAATAGGCATTGAGTTCAAGCCCCAAGACTGGTACCAAAAAAAAAAAAAGTGACTTCTTGAAGTCTTGTACTATCTGGATCAAAACTATTTTTCCAGCTTGAGGATGAGTCTATCTTTGTATCCCTGCCCTTTAGCCAGATGACCTGTTCAAGACACTGCCATCCTGCCTTTTGCACTGCACCTGACACCTTCCTGGCTCCCACAGTCCATACCCACTTGTCAAATCCCATTCTCCCTCCATGCCCAAGCTGAAGTGCAATTGTCTCAAAATCTTTTCCTGATTCCTATTTTCTCTACCACAAACTGTATGTGGTAAAGAGTTTAAATGTAACAGTAGTAGAGAGAAAATATGCAAAGAATAATTTAAAATTTCTTTGTTGAGAAACTGGTAATCCTCCTGGTAATAAAAATGATGAGCTAGAATGTACTCTGCATGAAAGTTCCTAAACGTAATATCTAATGAATAATAACCTTTGACTTTATTTACGTAATGAGGAACAATGATGTTTGGAACTGCTAGCATTCAGTATTTTGTTGTTGGATTCTTTAAAGCATAAATTAAGCCCTGAAAGTAGAGAGTCAGAGGTAGATAGAATATGAGAGACAGAGACAGAGGGACAGAGATAATATACCTGAACGGCTATCATTTGAAGAAAAAAGAAGTTTATATTTATGTCAGTATAGACATAACTACATTATCATCTAACCTTAGTAGATTCTCACGTTTATTTCTGAAAATTTGTATAATTTATTCTATAGAGTACTTTCAGCAACTGTAGTCTATGGTCACAGAGAACAATGTTGGGGTGCTGCCTCAGAGGCCTGCCCTTTCTAGTGTAATACCAAAACTATTGTCATTGTTAGTGTTCTAGTGTTAACCATTGCTGCTTCTAAACTATGTTATGAAGTTTTGAGTTGTCTTTGCATTTTCTGAGAAATGGGGTTTATGTTGCTCAGTCTGGTCCTGAACTACTACATTCAAGGAATCCTGTCTCAGCCTCCAAAGTAGGAGAACTACAGACACATACCACTATGCCCAGTTTTCATGTGCATTTTAAATGCTTAACTGCTTGTCATCTGGACTGGCAACTTTGGTTATCTTCAGTACATTCTTCACAGAGGTCACTTGAGTTTTTCCTTCTAACTTTCCAATTCGCTGACTGCTGACTCTTTCATGATTATTGGGGCCCTTACTTTATTGAGATGATTTGAATCTCTGAAACTCAATTATACCTCAAGGTATTTCCAGGTCTCTGTAACTATTGCCCTCTGCTAATTTTAGAGAGAACAAAGCTAAATCTCAATAAAGCTAATTCTATCCTTTTAAATCGCAGTTTTTGGGTCTTAAAAGAGCCAAATAGCATTCTTCTCCCCACAGAATCAGAAATACTGTAGCATAACAAAGGGTAACGGAAAGATTACCATGATTATGGATGGCTTGCTATGAAAGCCAAGGATACCTGAAAACTAAATCCCAAATCAGATTTACCCACATGGCCACATTGATGAGTCCACTGACGATCAACAGTGATCAGTCCAAAGCTTCAAGAGAAGGCCATGGCCTCCCCCAGGTAACACTTAAAGGGCTGAAAGAACAGAAAATGACTCTAGGTAGTCAGTGTTGTGGAGAAGCAAAGAGTAAGAGATGAACAGAGCAAGCCCCCAAACATTTATCAAAGTAAACTCGTAGGACTAGGAGTGTAATGCTAATGTATTGCCCCCACAGGGAAGGACACAACAAAAATAGGTAAGAAGTATTGTCCTCTAAACCATCTCCATCAATATATTGTACTGTTGGGATCTTGTTTCAATTGGTATTTTTCTCTTGCCAACATTTTCTGTTTCTCAACAATTCTATCCTATTCTCAATGTCAGTACCCATAAGGGCTGTCATCCTTTAAAACAAAAACTACATTTGGCCCTCTTGTCTATCCCACCTCTCCTGTCTTTTCTTTCTTGTGTCATGCTGTCACAAGTTTTACCAATTAGCTACATTTCCAGCCCTTGGTTACTCATGTTAACTGGACTTCATTTCACTGAGTATTGAAACTGGAAAATTCAGGGCTTACTCAATCTAAACCTTTAGTTTTGGTTTTAAAAAGAATGAGGCCCAGAGAGGTAAAACAATTTGCCCAAGCTCACTCATTACTTTTTTCTTTTTAAAGAACTTTTCCCATTTGATGATACATTTCCAGGTCTCCTGGCCATGTTGTTTACACTGTCCGAGTTACAAGTGAAAAGCCACCTCTGACACTCTTCCATATCCTCACTCTATCTTCTTAATTTTCTTCAAGTTGTATAGACTAAATAACTATTCTTGTGATTGCTTTTGGGAGAAAAAAGGATTTGTAAAGCCAGTCCCAGATGGTTCAGGAGAGCAATGTCACCTTTGCAAGTCTTGCAACCTAAATTATGTGTAATATGTAAGTCTATTATAATTTGTTGCTTATTCAACTATTTCCTACTTGTCTTGGATTTGTGGATGACCTAAATCTCTTTTCTTTGGAAGCATATAGCTCTCACTGGCGTCAATTGAGGTCACAGTCCCACATTTAGGGAAAAACTAACTGACTGTGGTTACAAACGCGTGTCTGTGGCCACTTTGAAAGACCTCTCTCAGCAAATGGTAACCATATTTCTAAGAAGTCTGTTGACTTCAGCACTTTTGGCTATTATTGTGCTCCAATTCAAAATGCCAGCCTGTCTCACTGAAGCATTTTTCCATTCTCTGTCACAAGCCATAACATATGAAAGTCCTCCCCATTTTCTGAAAGCCAATAGTTAGTTTCCAGTGGTTAACCATTACAGCCTCTAAAATAGTGTGCTATGTGGCATGAATTTTAAATGCTTAAGTGATTGTCTCAGTAACACCATTGAACAGCTTCAAAAGGATTAATGTATAGCAACATTCATAAGGGGAGGGAGAAGACTAAATAATAAACAGTTATAATTCAGAAAAGAAACTGCTCTGCTACTTTCAGTCACCGAAACTGAAAGAGCCTCTGAAGAGACACATATTCAAGTACAATTTCATTCTGCTTTTAAGCCACAAAGAAATATGTTTCACTTTTATGGCCCTTAACTTATCCGGCCTGGTTTCATAGCTACCTTCACCCTCCATTGCCCTGTAAACTCTTTGAGACTCCTGATTCACTCCTGGGTTCATGACCGTGTTAAATGAAGTACCTTGTACATGGAAAAGTTCCCAATAAATACTTGTGAGATTGACATCTGAAGGCAGTTATGATTTTAATATCTCCTTGCTTACAGAACAGATCTGGCTTGCATACATTCTATATCCTAGCAGAAAGTCATTGCTTAACAAACATCTTCCTCTAGACATTTCACTATTTTCTTCTCATATGCACTGTGCCTCTTTATACCACATCATTTTTTATCTTGTAAGCAAGGAAAAAGAAAACTTTTGCATATATGCTTATTCTAAAGCACTATGAATTGCTAAATTACTTAATTCTACAAATTAGTTGACCAGAGAATGACAGCTTTCTCTATTCCAAATGTATTTATTCTTTATGATCCATTAAATGGTCTTTCTGGTTTTTTATTA